TGATGGTCAAAAAGTACAGCATGTGAGTGTGGGAGGTTGACGCAGGCAGGAATCAAAAGCCAACTGAGTGAGGAAGTGTGCAGATGAGAAGAGCTGTGACCCCCCATGACAGGAAGTGTCATGACAAGAGGCCCGGGTGCCGTGAGCTTCGGTGCATGGGCAGCGCCCATGTAGACCATGGCTCAGGAAGCCAGACTCCCCTAGGGTTAAAGGCAGTGGTCCTTGCCGGCCTCAGGCCTCCCGGTGTTCCCTCAGAGTGCCTCAGGGTCAGTCCTGCACAGCGGGCTTCCCTTCCCCTTCTGACAGGGGCCTAATTTTGCTTGTCTGGCCACAGACTCTGAAGGATGCAGCTGAAATCGATGCTTGGTCCCTGCCCCCCTTAGGAGAGCACATGCTGTCCACAGAAGGTCAGATGCGGGCCTTTCACCACACACCACACTCATGAAGTCTGATGATACCGCCAGACCCATCCGTGACATCCTGAGCTTTGTTCATGAAACCCCAAGCAGGGAGCAGGTCAGATGCCCAGCAAAGGAAGCCGGGCAAGCAAACTGAACATTCATGAGACAAAATGCTGCATTGCTTTGGAATGAGAGAATGTCACATGGAATGGGAGAAGCAAGAAATGTGTGCTCTCGCATTTCATCCAGGCAGTAGATGTGGCATGTGCTTTGGAGAGGCACCGTCAAATGAGAGGGTACTCTCAGCATTTGTGGAAATGGGGGCAGTGCAGCCACAGGTTCCTGTATTGGCTGTGGGGGCAGGGAGGGGCGGGATGTGACCAGAGGACCCACAGGAGACTGTCTCCCTGGATCCTAATGTGGGCTGTCACGCTCTTGTGTTAATGTACAGAAATTTTTCACACACACTCCTTCTGCATATGTGACCTATTTCACAATAAGAACAGAAAACCACCTATGTGGAAGACATCATTCCTCAGCTTCCTGGCTGCCCATCCCAATGGGCAGAGGGCGTGCAGTACGGAATGCTGCTGGAACCCAGCTATGACTGGACTTTGTGGGTAAACCCAGGTGTTCTCCTCGGGAGCGGCCCTGTCCCCCAGCAAGGCGTGCCTAGAACCTGGCTTTGGTCTCAGTTGTAAATAGGGCCCGGCTTTGTTCTTGTGTGCCCAGGGCCTGACAAGCCCCTTCCACCCTCCCTCGTGGCACTCACAGTGACTTCCCTTTGTTCTGCAGGAACCAGTGGGGCCAGTGCCAGCCCAGCTGCTAACACGTTCTGCTTCTGAATGCTCTGCATGGCTGCAGCCAGAATGGGACATCCCAGCAGCCCAAGGACACCCTTGCGAACTGCCAGAAAACTCCGAGTGTGACTTTCACCCCCTTTTCACCTCAAAGGAGCTAGAGGAGGTGCAGGCCATTCTGAAGTTGTGGGAGCCCAGCCAGCTGCCAAAGCAGGTGTATCAGTTCTGGACTGAGCCATCCAGCCAGGCAGGCCAGGGACAGACCGGGACCCATGGTGTCTCCGATCCACAGCATGGAGTTCGGCTCTGCTTCCAAGGTTTCTGATGAGCCTGAAGCAGGCATTGCACTGAGTTCCCAGAGACCCATGCTTGAAGATTTATAGCTTTGGGAGGGGGTGGGTCTGTGACTCCCAAGATATTCTGCCTACCCCCTCACCCCCACCATGAGCATGGTTTCCTAATTGTGAATGCCCTTTAAAACATGGATTTCAAACTGAGTTTAATGTCCACTTTAAATCTGCTGTCCTCTTAGAATAATGTAGCCATGGTTATTTAAGCAGATTTCAAGGTCATGTTTTTACTTTTGTTGATTAGTAATGTTGATAAGTGTATGAGTTTAACTTTTAGGAAATTCTTCATAATCCTTCAAGAAGTGTTATGGATAATAATAAAAATTAATCTTAAAATCGGTCTTAGTAAATTTTAAATCTTTGGCTTTTGGGTGGTGGTTTCAGTGGAGGGCTGGCAGGGAGCTGGTGTGGGACCCCTCTGTTGCCCACTCCACCTGAGCAACCTGGCACACATGCTCCCAGCTGTGTGACACAAAACCTGCTCAGGAAGCTGGAGGGAGCAGCCAGGGTCGTCTGCTTGTGAACTGTAGCGTCTGCTGGGCAGTTGACCACCACCGGGAGAATCAGAAAGAGCATCTGTACTGGGGTGACAGGCCACCAGCACCTCAGAATGTGACTTCATTTGGAGAAAGGGTCTCTGCAGATATAACTAGGGACCTGGACATGAGATCATCCTGCATTATCCAGGTGACCCTAAATCCAATGAGTGTCGTTGTGAGAAACACAGGGAGGAAGACAGATGGGAGTGGGTGGCATCAGGGGGCACATGAAGATGGAGGAAAAGGTTGGAGTGACAAAGCCACAAACCCAGGGATACCTGGAGCACCTGGGCTGGAGAAGGCAAGAAGGTTATCCCTAGAGCCTCTGGAGAGAGGGCGGCCTGCTGACACCGTGACTTGGGACTTCTGGCTCCAGAGCTGTGAGAGGATTTCTGTGGTTTAAACTGCCAGCGTGTGATCCTTTGTTCCCTGGGCCCCAGGAAAGTGTCCTATAAACACAGATGATTCCAGCTTACCTGAAAACCTGTGTGTGTGTGGTCAAGGTGTAGACACATATCCACAAACAGTAAGCTGGTTCTAACAACCGGAGGGTAGAGGGAGGTCGTCCAGGTCTCAGTAGACCTACAGCCAGGGTGAAGCATTCAGCAGGCAGGGTAAGTCCGGCTCTAGGCCCAGTATAAAATGTGCAATTCCATTGTGAAGGGGACGTTCCCAGCCTGGTAAGACCCTGTGCCACCATTTTAGGTGACTTTCTTTTTCTTTCTTTCTTTCTTTCTTTCTTTCTTTCTTTCTTTCTTTCTTTCTTTCTTCTTTCTTTTTTTCCTTCTTTCTTCTCTCTCTCTCTCTCTTTCTTTTAAAGATTATATTGGGGAGTTGGGGGGAAACAATGTTGGGGAATCCGGGAAGGGGAACAATGTGTTTTTCCAGGAACCATCAGCTCCAAGTCAAGTTGTTGTCCTTCAATCTTAGTTGTGGTGGGCTCAAGCTCAGCTCTAAGTCCAGTCACCTCATTCAATCTAGCTGGGGGGGGGAGGGGGCATAGTCCACCATCCCATGCGGGGGTCAAACCGGCAACCTTGTTCTTAAGAGCACACACTCTCACCAGCTCAGCGGCAGCTCAGCTCGGACACAGCTCAGGTGCAGCTCACTGGCCCATGTGGGAATTGAACTGGTGACCCTGCTTCTCAGAGCTCGTGCTCTAACTGACTAAGCTACTCGGCCGGTGCCTTTAGGTGATTTTCTAAGTGTGGACTGAACTGACTCCACTATGAAACAGCACACACTTGAACTCACAATAAAAATTCACTCTCAGACCACCAGGAGTCTTCACGAAGGGGACACACAGCAACCCCAGCTCGGGCCACTAATAGTCCAGAAGCAGAGGGAGCCCCAGGCCTGAAACGCAAAGCTTCAGCCCAGGTTCCACCCTTGTCCTAGGGCCACTGTGCTGAGCCTGCTGGCTCAGGGCCCTGCCAGGCACCCTTCTCCCCACACCTTGCCCCTGCTTCCTGGTGGCCTTGTTCCTGGAACATTTCTGCTCCGAAGCCTGGTGCTCACCTCCCACTGCACGTCTACCATCTGCCAAATCACCGCATTATGTTAGAGCGCTTGTGCAGATTCTGAAAAATGGACTAAACAGTCATCTGGCTAATATGATGATGGGAACATAAAAGTAATGCTGTTTTCCCATTTGCATTGTTGATAGTCAGTTCCCAGCCACAGCAGTGCTTAGGGCCCTGTGGACACAAAGGAGAGACAGTCCAACTTCAACTTGAACAGCAGAAAGCGTGAGGGAGCAGAGCGGGGACTTGGGAGACACATCTGAGCTTCCTGTTCTCCCAGATCTTTTCAGACTCACCTGGCTCTGGAGTGTGGGACTTTTCCGAGCAATCAGAACGAGAAGCCCATTTTTGGGCCAGTTTGAGCAGAACTGGAAACTGGAGAGGTGGAGAGGTCCTTGGCCCACCGTAGTGCGGGGTGGGGTCTGAGCACCTGGGCCTCCCTGCGACCTGCCTCTCCCTGGTTTCCTGAGCAGGAAACAACCTCCTCTCACTGGTGGGCTGGTGGCCTGGCAGACAGCCAGCACCCCAACTTCATCTGCTGCCTTTGCCAGGCTCTCTGACCTGGCTGGAATCTGAGGTGAAGCCTGAAGCTGTGCTCCCACATGCTGACTCCTGCAACAGGCACTTGGGTCTCAAGGGACATGCTGCCAGCAAGACACCTAGAGGGGTGTGTGTAAGAGGTCTACAGCCAGGATGGTGAGGACAGACCCCGGGTGGTAGTTCCTTGGCCAGCTCCAAGGGAACCACAGCAGTGGAGCTGGGAGTGACCTAAAGGTCACCCTCCCCTTAAGAGGCTGAGCCTCTCAGCAGCCTGAGGAGATCTCCTCCACTGGAGGGTCCTGGGGGGTGAGAGGGAGACCCCTGGACCCCAAGTCCCAGCACTCAGACCAATACTCCCTCACCTCTTGCTGAGCAAGCAGCTTCTGCTGAAAGTTGACACAGCCCCACCCCACCGCTGAGCCAGCCTGGTGGGAAAGGGACAAGAGGAGAAACTGGAAGAGGCTTACAGGATGGCGTTTCTCACACAGGTAACCAGGGGACGCTCACATCGTCCTTCCCCAGGAAGAAGGAAGGCCTCAAGCTGCAGAGTGGGCCGAGGTGGGGGCGCAGCCGCTGCTTGTCCCTGGGAAAGGCATGGCGCATGGCGCACGGTGCCCAGCACGGATCTGCTTCCCCGCATAGGTGCCTCACCCAGGTGCTCACCGCGCTTACCCCCGCGCCTGTGACCCCGAACCCCGAGTATGGCCCCACTCCCCGCCCCGATCTGCGCAAGGTACATGGGATCCGAGCCCCAGCACTCCGGCCCCCCTCTTGGCCCGAGCGTCTCCCCGGATAGGCCAGCGCCCCCCGACCGCCCCACCCGGGACTCTCCACCCGGGAAGGCCAGTCCGCGTGCCCAGTCATCCTCCCGCCGCCGCCACCCTTGTCCGCCAGCGTCCTGCGGGGCCGCGAAGACCCGACCCGCCTTCCTGGGGGCCCCGGAGGGCCGACTGTGGCTGCACCAGCACCGTCCCGCGGGGATTTCCCCGGCCCTGCGCGCTGAGTCGCTGGCCGCGGTGCCTGAGCCGAGCCGGCCTACTAAGGCAGAAGCAGCGCTCAGATCGGCCTCTGTGCGGGGGCCCCGCGCGTTCCCCTGGCGGGCAGGGCTGGGGGCCACGAACCGACTAGTCGGGGCGACCCGGGGAGGGGCCGGGGTCGGTGGCCGCTCGAGCTCACCGCCAGGCACCGTGTCGCAAGCGGCCAAGCTGAGGCGCCACCGCTGCAGTCTCTCGGCCTTGAGGTAAGCAGCTGCGGGGCTTGGTTCTGGGCGTGGTGCGGACAGGCACCCTTCAGGGACGCAGGGTCCCTGCCTGCCATCTCTGTCTGCCACCTGCGCCCTCGCCCAGAAGCTGCCAGGCGATCGGAGTTGCTTCGGGCGCCGGTCTGTGGACGCGGGGGGAGTGACTGCGTGCAAAGGAGGGGTTTATAGTTGGGCTCTGAGAGCGTTGCTGTACCTTTCTTCGCGTTGGTGCTCGTTGAAGCCCTCCTCTTGCCGGCCCGTCATTGTCTAGCTACATAAACTCTGTTTACCAACGCCCCCCCCCCCCGCACAGGGGTGGCCGCTGCCAGTGAGATGGGGGGAAATTAAAGCTGAAGAGGTTTCAAATGAAGCCACTGTGCTACAGCACGAGTTGTAGGAGGACCTCGGCCACAGGAAGGGCCATTCGCATCCAGGGGCCCAGAATGACCATGGTTCTGGGTCAAGGACTGCGCCGCCCCTCTCGGGTTCCCAGCCCCTCTTGGTGGGCACAAATGTCACCATTATTCCAGGTAAGAGTATCACAGCAAGAGTATACAAATTGAAGCGTCCCCAGAAGTGTTCTGTTTTCTTATTGCATGTGATTGTGACCTGCAGTCAAGATAAGGAGGCTGGCTGCCAGTACGTTTCCCACACACGTCTGGGGAGTAGTGCCCCTTTTGAGGAAGCACCCCCAGATGCCCTTTATTCTGCAGTTTCAGTTATGAACACAAAGCCTTGCAAAAGCTGGGAAGAAAATCCATCTGTGCTTCTCCGCTGTGACTGCTATTTCCATAGGGGTCTGTGTTCTCTGAGAATCTGACACCTTTTAGGATGAGTGGCTATACTGTCATCCACCTGTGCGTTCATTGTTTGGTTCCCCTGCCATTTATTGGATACTTAAGGAGCCCCTGGCAGACACTGATAAAAGGTCACAGCTCCCATGGCCCCCACTGCCTGCCTTCCAGCACTTCCCATGGCCAACTCTCAGAGAGGTGGACAAGCTGGGAGGTGGGGGTGGGGTTCTCGCAGAGTCCAGACCAGCCCTTGGCCCCTTGGAGGTGATCAGTAAACACTGACCTGAGTTCCCAGTGCACTGGGATCACATCCGGGGATGGGGTGATGGAGCTGAGGAGGGAGAGCTTGGCTCAGGCAGGAAATGGGGAGGAGTGGAGGGGAGCAGTGAGATAGACAGCAAGGCTGGAGATGCCTTCAGCTAAATCCCATGATCCCGTCTCTGGTTCCAGCCCCTGTTCCCATCACATGGTCTGAATCATAACGATGAGTGATGGGGATGGGGTGCAGGTGAACTTCCTGGGAGCTTCTGCAAAATGCATGCCACTTGAGGTCATGCAGTTTCACTGGGAAAGGCTCTGCAGCTTTCATGGCTTCCAAAGGGGTCTATGGCTCAGAAAGGTACCATAATTTAAGGGCTACAGTAAAATAGTTTTCATCTTTATGGAAATTAGAAGAACGAGTCTACTTGGCTCCTTTGAAATTGCAATAAATTACTGTTTCAACTATATACAGGGTTGTAAATGCTCATGGTGGAAAATGTGTGAATGTCATAAAGAAAATTAAAGCCACTCATCACTGAGATTTAAGAGAAGACTGTCCTTAGGCAGGTCCCCCTAAGGAGAGAGGGGGGAGGGTGGCAGGAGATTGGATCCCTGTAGAAGAGTGAGAATTCTGATCTTCTTGGGGAAGGGTGGCATACACTTGGAGCCAGGCCTGTTTCTAGCTGGTGCTGGTGCTGGTGCTGTTGCTGGGGCAGGGGGAGGAGCATGCACAAGATATGCTCTCTGGTAGTGTGGGGAGCCGGCTGGGATCAGCCAGGGACAATAAGGCTGTAAGCTGGCAAGCTACAGGCCTCCATGTTAGGGTGAGCAGCTGGAGAGCAGCTTAAAAGTTATAGACCAGAGCTTCAGTAAGGGTTAAGCCTGACAGCTGACAAGCTGACAGGCTCTTAGGCCTTGGGGAGCAGCGTGGGAAGGTTGCTGACCCATCTCCACTGTGCCCTGGAAGAAGAGCAGCTAATGTCAGAGACAACCTTAAAAGTTACAGAGTGGATAGTCATCCTGTTAACGTTTTCTACTTGTTATACTTTGTTCTGTTCCACATCGGAAAGATTGCTTCCAAGGGAACTGTTCTCTGATAAGAGGGAACTATTCCCTCAAAGTTCCAAAATCCCCTGCCAATAAGGGAATTGCTCCCTGATAAGAAAAATTGTTTCCTATGTAACCAGTGTATATCTAATAAACAAGGTCTTAGTCAGCCATCAGCAGTCTGAGTCCCTCCTGTTCCCAGCTTTTGTCTCTGTCTCTTTCTTTCTTCCTCTCCCACCCAATCCTCCCAGGTGTGCACCTGGCTGACGAGTCAGGAGCACTTGTTTGGCGCTTGGCTCGCCTTACTGGGGGTCCTGAGATAAGGGTCCTCCCGCACCCTGACTATCAGGTCCCACTTGGTTTGTAAGGTCTGGGCCCTGAAGCCAGCCTGGCATCATCTGGAAATCACCCCAGAGGGTGCTGGACATGGTACCAAGTCCCTTTAAGCCCACAAAGCCTGGGCCAGCCCGACACTGGGACTAGGCAGGAGAATGGACAGCCACCCAGGCCTGTTGCTTTAAGAAACAAGTGTTTGATGGGAAGGAGGGAGCAGGCCCTCTTTACTGGTCAGCGCTCCTGGGGAGGCCAGCATCCCTTTTGGGTGGGGAGGTAGCCACAGGGTCAGGAACCCATGCCATCCCCCATCACGGCATGCCCGCTCACAGAGGGAATCTCCTGGGAAGCTTCCAAGTTTCAGTTCCTGGCAGTGGCTTTAATTGGCCCTGCTGTGGTCACAGGAGAGGGTGCAAGGTCTCTGAGCTATTGGCAGCCCCCAAGAACCACGTGTGCGGGAATGGCAGCTCCCCACAGAAACGTGGCATACTGTCTTCAAAACTTGGTCCCTGATATGGCAGTTAACACTATTTTCAGCATGCAATGAGAGCTCAGTTGTAACTTGTGACTTAATGTCTAAACATGCAAATGCAAGCCATTCTTTGGTGAAGAAATGGAAGATGTCTTTCAGAGTATAAGAAAATTGTGGCTCTCTGACTTTAGCACCACTCTGGAATGTCTGTGCCACCCCCCATGCTCAGAAACCTGAACTGTCCTTAGCAGTGGAAAGTGTGAGCTCACCCTGGTAAGACACGGGCAGGCTGCCGTTTTCTTTTTTCAATTAGATGTGTGAAAGGGAAGGATGGGTCCTTACATTTTTTTCAAGCCTAAAATTTAAACAACCTGGAGCCCCTCTTTGTTCCTCTGCCCTTCTCTCCCAGGATGCATTATTTCAGCGTGTCCCCAGTGCTTACCTCATCCCTGATTTTTGGGCATGATAAGTGGGTTTCCCCATGTGGGCTCCACGTGATCTTCTGTGGACCACTTTCCCCAAGATCTCATCCTGTAACCCTGTTGCACTCATTTGTTCAACAGATGTCTGTTGACCACCTGCCAGGTGCCAGGTGCCAGTGTGGCCTGTGCCCTGGGGAGCTCTCACTCCAGTGGGAATGTTACAAAACAGCCAGCATCCTTCAGGTGGCCTCGTTTAGGCCCCATCTCCCCGTTGTCTAATCTCCTCTTGGGGAGGGGTCAGCGGGGGGTGCTTCACACCCAGGAGTCCTGCCCCAGACTCAATGTTACATAACTCAGAAGCTTCCCATGTCTGACCAGCTTGCAGCCCTGGGCTATGCGCTGCCCTTAAGGACTGTGTACGTCTCATGGTCCCAACCGCCATCCTCTCGCTGACCCTAAATCCCTCCCAGGTCCCCACGCTGCTCTGGTTTTCTAAAGCTGTACAACAACCCACCCCCAACCAGGGATTAGGACAGTGACAGCATTTGCCTTGCTCATGAATCTGCCTCCCAACAGGGCTCAGCATGAGGGACATATCTGTTCCCTGGCCTTGGCCTTGTCTGGATGGGCTGCTGAGGCTCCTCTGCTCAGTCACATGTCTAGGTTTGGCTGGCTGGCACAACAGGGGCTTCTCTGTCTCTGTGGGGGTCTTTCCAGAATGCCGGCTTCAGGGGGCGGGACCCCTGGCCTGTCAGTTCAGGGTTCCCTGTTACAGGTCTCCAGAGAGAACCAGGTGACAGGAGTCTTGCCCTTCATGCTGTGACTTCAGGAGTTAGTGGTGGAGGCAGTCACCGAGGTGGCCAGGTTCCAGAGGTGGGGGCATGTGGTGGGAGAGGCATGAGGTGGCCATCACCTGGATGTACAGGTGCCCCTCCATTGATGCTTCTGGGGGCCCCTTGTATCCCATGCCTGTGCCTTCAGCCTTTGATGGTCACTGACGGCCTGCTCAGGCCTGCAGGTCCGAGTCCTGTCCTTCTCTTGTCCCGCCTCCATGGTCAGGCATCCACCTGCTCCCTTCCTGGCCCTGCTCTTCCCTGACCTTGTCTCCTTGGCTAGCTACTCTCCTTTCCTGGGGAAAGGACCCACTTCTTGGGGAAATGGCCACTTGGTCACCTTTCTCACTGTGCCCTGGTCCTGATTCTTGTTGCTTGCCAGGCTGCTCTGGTTGGTGTCCTTTGTCCCTGGCATTGCGTGTCCTGGGGGCCAGCATCTGCACCCTGGCCATCAGGTCCTCTGTGCCTGGGTCTTCTCCTCCCTGGCACTTTTCTCTGAGCCCTCTTTAATTCCTGCCTGAATTGACGCATAACTGACTCCAGCTTCCCCACCCAGGACCCCTCACCTGGCCATACAGCCATGGGTTCATCTCCCAAGAGTTGTCTTCACACAGCCCCACCCCCACTCGGGGTCCCACCAGGCCTTCTCCCATGAGACCTCAGTGCCATGATTTGACCCACTGAGCTCTCACAGGTGACTGCCCTCCTGCCTGCACACCTGTTGCATGTGTCAGTTCCCTTGGCCCTCAGCGCCTCTGCCACAGCCGCTCCCTTCCTGCCTGTGGCCTCAGAGCTCCTTGGTGCCTGTGCCAGATGTCCCACCTGCCTCTGGGTGCAGGGGCAGCTGTGAGCCTCCGTGCCTGCCTGAGGCTGGAGGACGGCAGTTCACAGAGCTCATCTGGCCTTCTGTCACAGCCTGGCTTTGGCTGGGGTGCTGGCACCCAGATGTACCCAGGCCAGATGTGGTGGCTGCTCTCTTCTTTGTCCTCGCAGGAGGGGTCTGCCTTTGTTGTGGTTTGAGGGCCTATCACTGTGCATGTCACCTCTGTATCTGTTAAGCCAAAGTCTGTGTTCTGCTGTGAGTGACCCCTCATGCGAGCTGGTGGAGCCTGTGTGTGTGTTCCTTGATGGAAGCCCATCACAGCCACACATTGCCATGTGGGTGAGGGGCGTGTGGGCTCTTCTACTGTGGCCGTGTTGAGCCCAGCTGCCTCAGCCTCCTTCAGTGCTCTCAGAAAGGAGCACGCACAAGTGTTTCTGGGGTGACTGCCTATGTGTGGAGTAGGCCCTTTGCACCCAGACCTCTGCTGTGTCCATGTGGTCTAGGTGACTCCAGGGTAGCTGGAAGCTGTGCCTACACTGGCTGTCATTTCACCCACCACTCCCCTGTCCTGCACCTTGTCACCATTTTGAGTCGACTGTCAGCCATTCTGGACACTGTCAGTGTCTGGTTGGGGTTTACTTGCACTTTTTGGATTACACACGTCACCAGGGTACTAGGCACTGGGTGTGCTCTCACCAGTGCCCAGTCACGTCACGTCTGCCTCTCCCTCTCCCTTGCCCATTGCAGGGTTCCTTATAGACAGGAATGAGCCAGTCTTCCTTATGAGGGACAGGCTCCTCCAACCCCGCGGCTTGCCTTTTCCCTCCCTCAGTGAGATTTTTGGATGAACAGAAGTTCTTCATTTCAGGTGCCATTTTCCTTCAGGGGTAGTGACACTTGTGTCCTGTGTAGTGAGTCTTCCCTGCCCCGAGGACGTGGGACATTCACAGGATGTCTTCCTGAGGCTTTGGTGCCAGCTCCAACCCTCCATGAACCTGAACCCATGGTGCTAGGAGTCAGTTTTCCTTTTTTTTGCCTTTGCGTCTATTCCATCAACCCATCTCCATTCACTGAAAACATTCTTTCCCCTTTTCTCCTGCAGGGCCACCTTTATAAAACCTAGGTGTCTGTGTACTTGAGTCTGTTTGGGGCTTTCTTCCGTCCCATGGGTTTAGCTCCCTCCTTGTCCCAGAACCACACACCACACCGTCTCCTTGTCTGGAGCTTTATGTCAAGTCTGGAGCAAGTCTTCCCACCTTGTTCCTTCAAGGTCACTTCAGCCCAAGGCCTTTACACATATATCTTAGGTTTAGCATCAAGATACTCAGACATAAAAATTGTTGGAATTTTATTTGGATTAAATTAAAACTGTGGATGAATTTAGGGATAACTGATATTTTTATGCATTCAGATTTTAACCCATGTTCATAATATCATTGTTTAGACTTTTTGTTTTTCAATAATGCCTTATAGTTTTCTGTGTCAATGGTCTTGCAAATCTTCTGTTAGATTTATTCCTAGGTAATTGAGATTTCTTCACACTATTTTAAATAGTATACTACTAAATACCTCTTATAGTCTGGTTTTGCTGCTACATGAAAATAAAATTGATTTTTATTTTTAATTTTAGACCATGCATCTAAGAAACCTTGCTAATAAGCTTGCCATGGATTCTAACAATCTTTCTGGGGTTTCTTTGCATTATGTCTATATACAATCATAGAAACTGCAAATAATGACAAATTATTTCCAGTTTTTATATCCTTTATTTCCATGTCTGTCTTACTGTACTGGCACAGTGAATAGAGGTGGTGCTAGCAGGCCAGGCATCCTTGTCTTATTCCAGTTTGAAAAGAAAAGCTTTCAGTCTTTCATTGTTAGGTGTGATGATTTCTATAGTTTTTTGATAAGTAACCATTAACAATTTAACGAATTTCCTTCTTTTTCTAATTTGCTAAGAATTCTTTGGGTGACAAGAAGCTGAACTCCATCAAAGGCATTGCCTGCATTTATTAAGATGATAATACCATTTTTATCCTCTATCCTGTTAGTGTGTTTATTATATGGATGAATGTTAATCTCAGACCAGCCTTGCATTCCTGGCATAAACCCAACTTGATTGTAAGCTATCGATTCTTTTTATATCTTCCTGGACTCGGTTTGTTAATATTTTGTTTAGGATTTTAGCATCTATGTTCATTAGTGAGATTGACATAAAATTTTCTTTTCTTGTAACCCCCTGATCAGGTTTTGGTACCAGAAGTATTTTAGTCATAAAATGATTGGTTGTTCCATCTCTTACTCTTCTCTGGAAGAATTCTCTAAGATTGGCATTATTTCTTCTTTCGATATAAGGTAGAATCTGCTGGTGAAGCCATCCATGCCTAGAGGGTTGTTTAATGAGAAAAGTGTTATATAAGGATTCAAGTCCTTAATAATTGTATGAATAATTCTTAAAGTAATTATAAGAATATCTGTTTCTTCTTGTTACCATTCGACAAAGTGGCTTTTGTTTTGTTTTTAGGACTTTGTGTGTTTCGTTGAAATCAAATGTATTGGGTCTGAAGTTGTTTGTAATATTCTCTAATGATACTTTGATGTTTTAATATCTGTAGAATTTTTAGGGATGGCCTCATTTCCATTCCTGACTCTGCACGTTTTGACCTTCTCTTTCTTTTTCTTGATTAATCGCCCCAGTATTGATCAATTTTAGTCATGTCAGGACTCTGACTTTTGATGTTGTTGGTTCTCTGTGTTGTGGATTTGTTTTATAATGAATTTTCATTATTTTACATTTGTTTTTGTCCTCTTGCTAAGGGTTTTTCTTAGATGTCTGCTCAGCTAATTTTCATGTATGTGTGTATCGTGAACACACACTTATGTACATGTGTGTACAGGCACATGTTTCTACAACATCTAGGTGTTTTCTTTTGGGTATTTCCAATTCACGAATTCCTTTTAAAGCTCTGTTGAACTTGCCCTGCTGTTGAATCCATTGAGTTATGAATTTTAATTATTGTATTTTTAGGGCTAGAATTTCTAAGGTATTCATTTTTCAAAGCTGTGATCTCCATTTGTACAGTGCTCAGCTCTTTGCTGGATTCCCCCATCTTGTCCTTTTCCTTTCTTGCACACAGCATACATACTCAATGTCTGGTCAAGTGCCAGTATCTGGGACCCTGTCTGTTGTCCTGCAGGATCTTGGCTCCTTTTTCCCCTCATGTGTCTGGCTTTTTTCTTTTACTGTGTACTAGATTGCAATCTAAATATGTTCATAGAAATATTTAGAGGTCTCTGATGACAGTCTCCTCCTCTAGGGAGTGTTTACATGTGCAAGGCCAGAATTTGGGGGGTGCTTGAAATCAGGGGTCACCTCAGTGCAGTTGTGGGTTGAGAGGGGCTGAGATGACTCAGTCTCCTGCCAGCTCACCCTTACTCGTGGGTGGGTCCCACCGGGAACAGCTGTCAAGCAGTGCTCAGCCCACAGAGTGCTCTCTCCTCTTCTAGCACCAGCCAGTGCCCATGGAGAAATGGCCTGAGCATGTGGCTGGCCCGTCCAGGGCCTCTTCCCTGGGTCCTGGCTGGTTACCTTCCTCTCCCCTGTTAGCACGTGGCTGTGCTGAGGAAGATGGCTTTTCTGTTGCCCACTCTTACCACCCTGTGGGAGCATGGGCCTGATCTCAGGGTGTGGGACTGTGGCAACTGCATTTTCAAAGCTCTTGGTCAGTTCTGATGGGTGGCCGGGCTCCACATGCTGCCTGGTCAGGTGTTTGCAGACATGATCTCACACCCACCAAGCTGATGCTGCTGTACCTCACACCCTTGCCAGGTCCCCCTGGTGTCCCATCCAGGGTGGAGTCTCCAGCTTTTGTTCCTGACTGCCCTGTTCTCCCGGCCTCTTCCCACACTGGCTGCCTGGGGGCAGATCTCTGAGGTGTGCAAGCATGACGCTTTGGTTTTCTGTGAACCAGGCTGACCTGGTCAGCAGTCCTCTCCTGCAGGCTTGGACTCCTGCTGGGGGCTCTGTTGGCAGACCAGCTGTGATCAGGCTGGGCAGGCATCTGGGAGCCATGTGCCAGGCTGGCCTGGGGGCTGCTGTGAGGGCCTCACGGGTCCCTGAGTGGACAGGTGGTCAGGAGCCATGCTCCTCTGTTTCTGTAGATGCTATGGGACCTGCCCTCCCAGTGGTTTGCCTTCCTGGGTCCTGAGGCTCCTCTCAGGAGCAGGGTGTCCCTGTTGCCCTGCAGGGCTCCCCCTTGGCCATCACACAGCCTCATCTTCTTAGCTCCCTGTGCACATGTGCTCCCCTCATCCACTGCTAGCTAGCTGTATTCTTGGATTGCATACAAAACACGCTGACAGAGACCAGGGCCACTTTGGGCCAGGGTCCAGGACGAAGTGTGGCTCCTGGAAAGCCAAGGGGTTTCTCTAAAACCACCAGCTCCTTGGTGACTGGAGAAGTTCCTGCAGTGGACACCAATTCTGAGGGGTAAGGGAGGGCAACTGTGGGGTCCCCTGTTGCCTTACAGTTATGTCCACAACCACTACCCCCCACCCCGCACTAACCCCTGACCTAACGAGGTCCTCAGGAAGTGTCTCGGAATGCTGAGACCTGATGGAATGATATCGGCCATCTCCCTTATTTGAATGGATGTGGTACAGTAACGCTGTCTGGGGGGGGCGGGTTGTGCAGGATGTATGAAGGCATAGTACATGTTGGAATACAATGGGAGCTGGTTAATGGAAAACAGCCTTAAGGCACGTGACACATGGATATTTGAGTAATCTAGTTTCACTTCCTTGAAATTTTCTCAATAAAAGCCATGTATCGGCCTGATTAGGGGCTCAGCCCTAGAGGCTGATGCCCCCTGACCCCGCTTTAGCCTTATCTCTGTCTCTTGTGCTCTTTAACTCTGCACCACCCCTCTTGTTTCCCACTGCCCTTGCCACGCAGGACGTGACATCCAGCGCCTAACCTGGGAGCTCAACGAGGGAAGGGAGACTTTGAGTCTGCATTAAAAGGTTTCACGGCACAGGGCCCAGGACGCGTCGCGACAACTACCTGGTAAGGAGATAGGGAAGGTCCTGAGGAATTTAACCAGGGTAAAAGGGGAATTAACTAAACCTTTGTGTGAAAGGGTGTGAATGTGTGAGTGACTGATTACAGTTCCACAACTTTGGCTATGGAACTTGTTTGGGCTCTAATCTGTGATTCCATGGTTCCGTCATAAGGCACAATGGTGACTTGGCAATGCCAACCAGATCTGGGGTTTATACAGGTGCACCTTAGCCAAGACGGACCTTAAAGTCCCATGAGGGATGCGGCCAGACAAGCATCTAAGTGATTTTTGAGTGAAACTTTTTCTTTCCTTCTCTCTACTAACATGGGAAATGCTGAGAGTTGTTACAGACCTTAAATCTGTTTCCTCAAGCAACTCCTTAAGAAAGGGGGGATAAAAATCTCAGAAAAGAAATTGGAGGAGCTTTTAAAGGTCATTGAGACCCACTGCGCTTGGTTTCCAGATTTAGGAATAGTATATTTGGAACCATGGGACGCTGTAGGCAACGACCTTAGTGATGTACAGCGTCAGGGAGTCATGCTGCCAGCGACAATTTGGGAAACTTGGCGGCTGGTCCAGTCAGTTTTAGAACCTTTACAAACTGACACAGAAAATGAAGGGAAAATAATGATCAGGACTGTAAAAATCAAAAAGAAATGTCTGAAGAAAATAAGGATAGAGAGAAACCTTTAGAGGACAGAGAGGAAGACTCTTTGGAAGCAACCACAATTGTTCCAAAACCATTATATCCATCTTTGGGGAATGATTTAAGAAGTTATAGTTTACCTCCCACTTCTTCTTGGTTTCCACCTCCTCTGCCACAATCAGTTCAGGCAAAAGAATGGGAGTCATTTAAGAAACAGCCCAGGGGGCTGGCCGAGTGGTGCGTTGGTTAAGAGCTGGCTTGGGATGCCAGCTCTGAGCAGCAGGGCCCCGGTTCAAATCCCACATGAGGGCCAGTGACACTGCCCTCTACAGCTAATATGGTGAACAACAGCTCGACCTAGAGCTGGGCTGCTGTGAGTTGCCGGCAATGGCATAGGTTGCAACCTCTGCTGCAGTGGGCTGCCATAAGCTACCGTGTGTGGCCAGCAGCTAGTGTGAGCTTCCAAGAGCCGCCGTGAGCGGCTGTCCAGAGACCGGCGACCGATCTGCCTCACCTAGGAAGAGCACAATGATAATACCAAAATGGGCCAGTGAAGAAAAAAAAAATTAGAAATAAATAAATAAATAAATAAAATAAAAAACCGCCCAGGGCTAACAACCCGTTCCTCTCCACCGCTCGAGCATCTCCTCCACCTGCCGGAGGCCCTCGTATATCATTGTCAGCAGTGAAATTAGGTATACGCCAGGCTAGACTAGAGGGAGATTTGGATGCATTAACCTTCCCAGTAATAATTCGGCAGTGTGTTGCACCCAATGATGAAAATCCGGATGGAGTTCATGAAGTCATACATGAGCCATTTTCCTTTAAATTGCTCAAGGAACTAAAACAAGCAGTAATTCAATTTGGTCCAACATCACCTTACACTATCGGCCTCATTAGAGGTATTGCTGATGAAAATGGGTTAATACCAGTAGATTGGAGTGCTATGGCTAAAACATGCCTTTCATCATCTGAATTCTTGCAATTTAAAACTTGGTGGATTGATGATGCAGAAATTCAGGGCAGACATAATCAAGCTCACAATATTAACATAACTAAGGATCAATTGTTAGGTGATGGTGAATGGACAGTTACTCAATATCAGTTAGGCATGGATAATCAGGCTTTGGATCAACTTAAAAGAATTTATTTGATGGCTTGAGAAAAAATAGAGAAAAATAAAAATGCTTCTCTCAAGAAAAATTTAAGGCTTTGACAAACTTAGTACAGACTCAGTTAGAACAAGATCATATAGAACCTTCTACTAGTCCCTGGAATTCTCCAGCATTTGTCATTAAAAAGAAATCAGGAAAATGGCGAATGCTAACTGACCTCCAAGCTGTTAATTCAAGGGCTTCCCCAACTCTCTATGATCCCAAAAGATTGACCTCTTATAGTTGTTGATTTACAGGATTCAATTCCTTTACACCCTCAAGGCTGTCCATGATTTTCATTTCCTATTCCCTCAATTAACAATAAAGAACCAATTCAAAGATATCAATGGAAGGTGCTTCCACAAGGAATGCTTAACAGCCTGACCATCTGTCAGCTTTATGTAGCTCGAGCTCTTACTCCAGTAAAAACCAAGTTTTCTAACTGTTATATCATTCATATAATTATTATATCATTATATATAATGATTATATGAATGATATACTCTGTGCTGCATCCTCCATGGAGCAGTTAGCTGCCTACTTTGAATTACTTAAAAGTCAGCTTGACTCAGCCGGATTTTGCATAGCTCCAGACAAAATCCAAACAACCATGCCAATAGATTATCTAGGAGTGGTGGTTGATAGACAGACTGTTAGACCTCAAAAGGTTCAAATTAGGAGAGATCAGATTTCTACCGTAAATGACTTACAAAAATTACTGGGAGACATCAGTTGGCTACGACCCACTTTGGGCATTCCTACCTATGCTCTTAATAACTTGTTTAGTCTTTTGTGAGGACTGTCACAGCGTAATAGCTCTCTTAAACTGACTTCCCAGGCAGAAAAGGAACTAGAGCTAGTTGAACAAAAAATACAGGAAGCTCAGACACAATGTGTGGATCCCTCTCAACCTTTGCAGGTTTTAATTTTCTCTATGCTACATTCACCAACAGCAGTTATTGTACAACAAAATGATTTGGTTGAGTGGCTTTTTCTGCCTAATAATTTTGTTAAATCTCTTCCAACTTAATGTGGAACTAGTCTCTGAATTAATTTCAAAAGCTCGTACCCAAGTTTTACATCTCTGTGGACAGGAACTTAATCAAATTGTAGTTTCCTTTTAAAAAATATAAATTTCTCATCTAAATATTCATGCTGAATCTTGACTTGCTTTTCTATTATGGACCTTCCAAAAACTATTAAAACAGACAATGGACCTGCTTACATTAGTTCTAAGTTTGCAAATTTCTGCACTATTTGGAGAATTACCCATACTATAGGAATCCCTTGCAACCCACAGGATCAAGCCATTGTTGAACATGCTAATTCAACCTTAAAGAAACAATTACAAAAAAACAGAAAGGGGGAGACATGAAAGATACTCCCCAGATACAATTAGCAAAAGCAATGTTCACTTTAAAATTTTTTAATTAATCTGGTTCAAGCACGGAACCACATCTGGGCGAACTGCACCTGAAAGACATTTTATTAACAGCCCAAGAAAATAAGAAAATATCCCCATATGGTATATTCAAACCATGGAAAGATAGTCAAACCAATTAATGGCATTTAGGGACTTTATTGACATAGGGACAAGGCTTTGCTTGTATTTCTCCAGGTCCTGAAGAACATCTTTTGTGGGTACCTGGCCGGTGTGTCAAACCTTACCATAAGCTACACGCCCAAGAAAAGAAAGCTAATATGGCCAAAGATTACAAGATATGATTGGCCTCCTAATTGGCCCGCAGTGGAGGATACTCAACCCCCGACACCTCCGATGATTGACATGTCTAATCTCTCATTTCAACCAGCCTGTCCGAGGCCAACCGCTCCTTCAGCTTTTCGAGTAATTACTCCGTGAACAAGGAGTGCTTCTCTACCTACTTGGTGTCAATTGAAAAGGCTGGCTCAAGTAGCTGAACATCAGCTGTCAGAAGAAAATATTCCAAAAGCAGAGGCCAACATGCTAATATCTATGATGGCAGTTCTTGCTGTTGTAAGTTGTTTTCCAATCTGTGTTGCTGCTGATAATTTCATTTATTAGGCTTACACACCCAATCCCTCCCTTGTTAACTCCTGTAACTCAGAATGATGATCCTCCTCTCATTTATCTTAATGATAGCTCCTGGTTCCCAGGACCTGAAGATCCTAAAGGACCAGAGTTTCCTGAGGAAGAAGGACAAAATTTTACTTTATCTGGCCATTCCTCACTAGGTTATTTGCATACCCCTATCTGTATTGGCTCTGTTCCTCTGTGTCTCTCTCTTTCTGATCAAGCCTGGGCTATCCCCAGTGGAAAGGACAATGACACCTTTAAGGAATTGTTTATGATAACAGGAAAAGGATTTGTTACCCAGCAAGTCAACACCCATAGCTTCCCTCCTCCCATCCCTACTTGTCCTTTAAAAAATCACTGGGACAAGAATCAATCTTGGATTCATTGGGAGAAATGTTGCGGAAGTATGGATAGAGTAGTAATTAATAATTCCTATGAAACTATAGTTGATTGGGGTCCCTTTGGGACTGCTTTTCATGCCTGTTCCCACATAAAATGTTTAGAACCCCAGCAATTAAAGAGACAGATAGCTGAATATGGTTTTCCTAGAAATATTGAGTCTCCATTTAACATTTCTATTTTTTGGAAGGATAGGGGCCTGGCCCCACCTCAGTTAAGGATGATTAGACCTATTTGGGGTCCATTTCAAAGGACCTTATGGAAAGTAGCTTTAAACATTGGACCTAATAAAATATGGAAAGATAATCTTACTAAAAATACCAATAAGAATTTCACTTTCTGATTTGAAAAAACCGAAATGACTTATTTACAAGTTTGCCTTAAAACTCCTTCTGTTTTCTTGACAGAAAAATTTACTATTAATCACCCTGCAAAATTGTTGAATGCCCTCAATGTCGTTTTCGTTTATATACCTGTCTTAATTCCTCTATTTTTGGGACCTCCCACGACCAGATTATGATACTTAGGCGAAGCCATGGACTATGGCTTCCTGTTCAAGCCTCCAGGGTATGGGAAAGTTTCCCAACTGTTCATATTATTTTACAAATTTTTCATAAGATCTTACATAGAACTGAAAGGTTTATTAGCCTTTTAATAGCCGGGAATAATAGCTATAACCACTATTGCTGCTGTCTCTGGAGTGGCTCTTCACCAGACGGTGCAGGCTACTCAATTTGTACAACAATGGCATGAAAATGCACGTAAAACTTGGAATCAGCAATTGAGAATTGATCAAGAAATCAGCGTATGGCTGGCTGATTTAGAAACAATTGCTGTTTCTCTTAGAGATCAATTGGAAAGTCTCCGGACTATGATTACTTTAAAGTATGGTTGGAATATTTCCACTTATTGTGTAACTCTTTTTTCTTACAACCAGACATGTACCCCGTGATCTGAGATACGAGCTCATCTTTTGGGACTGTAGATATTCTGCAGTTGCAACAAGAAGTGGATCATATGTCATCTGCTAATCTCCAGCTCCTCCTGGGAGAGGATGCCCTTTCCATGGCTGCAAAAGGATTTTCTACTCTGAACCCACTCACATGGGTGAAAAACCTTGGTGGAGGTTTTGCTGGTGCTTTTGCACTCCTATTAATCATTCTATTTCTGTTTTGTCTAATCCTCCGGTGTGGACAACAAGTCCTCCAGAGGGCCATAGATGAAGAAACTGCAAAGTCCGTGTTTCTCCTTCTACAAAAACAGAAAGGGGGAGATTTTGCCTTACAGCTACATCCACGACTGCTCCCCTGCACTAACCCGTGACCTAATGAGGTCCTCAGGAAGTGTCTCGGAATGCTGAGACCCGATGGAATGATATCGGTCATCTCCCTTATTTGGATGGACGTGGTACAGTAACGCTGTCCTGGGGGTTGTGCAGGCTGTATGAAGGCACAGTACATGTTGGAATACAATGGGAGCTGGTTAATGGAAAACAGCCTTAAGGCACGTGACACACAGGTCTTTGAGTAATCCAGTTTCACTTCCTTGAAATTTTCTCAATAAAAGCCATGCGTTGGTCCGATTAGGGGCTCAGTCCACAAGGCTGGTGCCCCCTGGTCCCGCTTTAGCCTTATCTTTGTCTCTTGGGCTCTTTAACTCTGCACCGCCCCTCTCGCTTCCCACTGCCCTTGCCACACAGGACGTACCAGTTCCCTACACAAGTGCTTTGTTCTGTGGGTGGAGGATAATGGTGTGCCTCCTTGGCAGTCCCCATCTTCCTCAGTTTCCATTTCTGGAAAGTCTGCTGGCCCTCATGGCCATCTTTGGAGAGCACACAGCCTGTCGGGGTCTGCTGCTGTCCCCACCCTTTGGTCCCCATTCCCCGTTCCCCGTCCTGCCCAGGTCCCATGGAGGCTCAGGGTGAGCTCACTGCAGGATGGCCATGACAGCATGGGCCACAGCCCTGGGGTGACCAGGTGGCCTGGAGAAGATGCCAGCTCACCCACTCTGCTCTTTTGTCTCTCATGTCTGAGAGAAATCGTGTTTGACCTACAAACACGGAGTGGCGAAGCTGTGATTTATTTCTCAGGCTGTTTTGACTCTGTGGACCTTTTTTTCTTTTTTTTAAAGATTTTTATTGGGGAATTGGGGGGATGAGAACAGTGCTGGGGGATTGGGGAAGGGGAACAGACAAGTTGCTGTCGTTTTGTTCTTCAGTCTAGTTGTGGAGGACGTTGCTTCACTGGCCCAAGTTGGCACCATCACTGCGCTCTTCCAGGGCGAGGCGGATCAGTCGCCGGCTTCTGGACGGCCGCTCACTGCGGCTGCTGGCCGCTCACGCTGGCTGCTGGCTACACACAGTAGCCCATGGCAACCCACTGCCACAGGGACTGCAGCCTACGCCGTCGCCAGCGACTCACGGCAGCCCAGCTCCAGGTTGAGCTGTTGTTCAGCATCTTAGCTGTGGAGGGCAGTGTCACTGGCCCTCATATGTGGGATCCGAACCGGGGCCCTCTGGCATCCCAAGCGAGTTCTTAACCATCGCGCCACTCGGCCGGCCCTCTGTGGACCTTTTGAGCTGCGCCTCACTCTGATAGTCTTAGTCAGGCCAAGCACAGTGGGTTGGGGCTTTTTGACAATGGGACTGTGAAGGTGGGTGCTGGGGGTGGCAAACTATGTCCCACGCTGGCCTGGGGCTACAGAGACCATCCCTGCATGCTTGGCGGGAGCCTGTGGATTCAGAAAAGGCTGCTTTGTCTAGCTCTAGAAGCTCCTGCTGCCTGGGACAGCCTTCAGCTGACACGAGTGTCATTCACATAAAGTGTCCAGACAACCATGGGGTGGAGTGCTGGAGGGTGGCAGGTGTTATGATTAAAATTGTGAAGAGTTGCTAAAGGGCCACATTGTACTCAAATGCACTCAGACAAAGAGCTGAAGATGGGGGAAGTCAGTGGTTTCCTTTTGTTGCCCGCTGTCCCAGGAGCCTGTTCCCACCTGCAGGGCCTGTGGCAGCATCTGTCACCAGCCCAGAGACACCCCGTTCCCACAGAGCACAGCAGGGCCCGCCTGCCTGTTTCCCAGGCCAGCTTGCTACATGCATCCCGGGGACTGCAGCCCACTGAGGGGACTGGCGTTATACCTTTGGAGGAAGAGGTTAGTGACAGGTCTCCAAGCTGAGATTTTGGTCACTGCTGCAGCCGCAGGGAGGCTCGAGGTGCACAGGTTCACCATGCTCCTAAACAAGGACTTTTCCAACAGGGCTTCTGCATAACCTTAGTGACCAGGAGGTCCCTGAGTTAAGACTGTGTGCCCTGTTGCTAAACGAGACGCACCCACCTGGTTGTTTGGCAACAGTGTCTGCCTCCTGGTGGGATCCAGGTGACTCTGGTGCAGAACATCTCTCTGTGGAGCAGGGTTCTCATCACTCGTGCCCGGGTGTCCATTCTACTGTGTGCGATGTGCCAGGGTCACTTAAGGGTGTGGGGGGCGGGGCTGTGCCCCTCCAGGATGGAGACTGAGTTTTCGGAGGTAGATGGAGCCCTGGGCCACGGGGCTTCTGGCTGTGGTTCCTCCCAGGAAGGCCAGATCTGGGCCCAGGGCAGCAATGCAGTAGAAGAAGCTCCCGGGGATGAGGTGGGGTGAGAGGGGGGTCCCAGGAGGTTGACTGTGCTGCTGTTCTGTCAGAGGTCCCCAAGGAGAAAGGCCAGCAGGAAGGTCTTGTACAGCCCCCAGAGAGGGCAATGGAAGCATGGGGAGGCGAGGGGCATGGTCCTGTGTGAACTCTGGGTCCCCTTGGCAGGTCCTGGCTCCCAGTACCACACGTCCTGCTTTGCCCCACTCTGCATGCCGTCTCTGGCTGCCCACCCCAGGGTTAGTGCAGCTGTCCAAAGTCCTTCACTCCAGCAAGCTCAGCCATTTGTTGTACCCAGCACCCACCTGAGGGGGACAGTGTGTTGGTGTCGTCCAACATGCCACAGGCAGTGGCACCAGAATATGTGGTGGAGGTAGGAGGAGGCTGGAGGGTACCTGGTTACAAAGGGCAAGATGGTCAGTATGACTGACCTGGTCAGATTGCAGGAGCCCCGCACGTGGAGGTGTAGATTGGGGACAGGTCAAGGGAGCTGGTGGGGCATTAGGAATGAGGTCCTGAGCGTGGGCTTGAGGAGCCCAACAGTGGAATTGATTCATACCTGAGAAAGCAGGCACACCCATCTTCACATTCAAGGCATGCCCACACCCTGTGCAGAAATGGGAACCAGGGGAGCACTCAGTGCTGCCATTGCTGCCACTTTTAAAATCACACCTGGCCCCACTCACAGACACCTCGCCTGCTCTCAAACACACCTGGCCTGCTCTCAGACACACCTGGACTGCTCACAGACACACCTGGCCTGCTCATAGACACCTGGCCTACTCTCAGACATGGTTCTGATATGGGGGAGCCCCCTTATTATAGAAATTTTAAGTCTTTTCTCTAGTTTCTTTGCTCCCTAGTCCTTGGTCTTAAATCACTTTTTAAATCAGTTTCTTAATCCTTAACTAAATATTGCTCCTAGCCTGAATTATAGAATGTCTCTCACCCCTGCTTCAAATAACTTCTTAGTAGCCTGTGACTTAAGCTTGTTGATTGTAATTATTGTAGCCCAGCATCCCTCCCCAGGTCATTCCAGACCCAACTCCTGGGTCAACAATGCCACCTGAAATGAAGCTAAATGGACTTTGAGTCCTGCTCTTTGGGCCAACCCTTTTTAATCTATTAACAAAAATCTATCTCTCCTCATCTAGGGGCCATCGGGATACAAATGATGCCCCAGCAAGGCTTCTAGTACACCCTGACCAAGGAGGACGATGCAGTCTTCCAGGCGGACCTCAAGACTCCTTCTCATTTAAGATCAGATAAGGCGAGAATCCCGTAAATCCCCAATAGGCAGGGACAATTGCCACATTCAGCAGGAAGCAGATACAGAAGAAGAGACCTCCTGTCCCTCAATTTCCCATAAAGATTTATGGGGATCACGCCTCTCAGGGGAAAATGAGGAAGGCAGTTATAGAAATGGGGTCTCCAGACATTCCTGCACATTTGACATGGCCTACAGAGAGTGACAGCCCACAGACCTCCCAGAAACCTCCCCTCTATGCCCAAATTTTTCCCTCATCTGCCATACCATTAACTACTATGAAGATACTAGAACCACAAACTACCTAACAAGATTAGACCAGTCACTCACACCTGTGCAGTAAAGGCCACAGTAACCTTCATCTCACCTTAGCCTCATTATACCATCATTGTAATATCATGGCTATGTCCAGAAGTTCATTAATATCTAACAGACTGAACTCCGGGAAGGAACATATGCAGTCTGAAAAGATGAGGTAATAGCCTCTTGTCAGTCACAGGTGTCAATCAAATGGTCCCACCACAGAGAGGAACAGCTCATTCTATAGAAAAAAAGATAAAACCATCATGGCCCTGTTAGTCAGGGCCCTTGAGCCATCCTCTTGTGCTCGAGCCCACTCCTATCTCATTGGAGTGTACTTTTTCTTTTAATAAACTGCTCCTTCACCACTGTATTTCTGTGTCTCATTCAATTCTTTGCTCAAGACGCCAAGAACCTGGACACTGCGCTGAGAAGGGCTCACTCTGCTAGCAGTTCTGGTCACAGATACCTGGCCTCTCTCACAGATATACCTGTCCCCACTCACAAACTCCTGACCTGCTCTCAGAAACACCTGGCCTGCTCTCACACATACCTGGCCCTGCTCACAGACACACCTGGCCTGCTCAAAGTCACCTGGCCTGTTCATAGCCACACCAGGCCCTGTTGCAAGCACATCACTAACACAAATTTTCAGTCTTCCTAGTCGGGGCACTATGTGTGAGGTATGTGTCTACTGTGACTGTCACCTGTTGGCATCTGTCCTGTTTTGTTTTTTCTATAGGTTTCACTTCAGGCAGTCAAGTCTTAAGCAGGATTTCAGGGAATGTAATTCTGGAAATAAGGGGTGCTGATCTTGTCATGATCTGTCTTTGGAGTATCTATAGCCTGTGAGGGGACAATGGGTCAGGGTGAAGCCATGGAATCTGAGACACCTGGCATCAGCAGTGGGACAGTCCACAGCACAGTGGACAGATGTCTCCAGGTCTGGATGGGGTCACCAGGCATGGGGATTTTGTTTGACTATTTCTGGGCAGCAGCCCTCTGGGCACCAAGCTCCCCACACACACATTCAGCCACTGGGATCTATATTGCCACCTTCAGGCTGCTTTGCCCTCTCCAGCCCTCCTTTGAAAATGCAAATCCAGTAACACAATCTATCCCCATGCCCAGTGTGAGTTCTGTATCAGTCCCCTCCTGACCTCTTTAGGACAGCACCTGCCCTGCCTCAGGTGGGACCTGGGCAAAGCTGATGGCTCACACAGGACTGGACATGCTGGCTCTCCCAGTTCACCTGCCTGCCCCTCCCCATGCCCTGAGCTGTTGAAGGCTTCACCGATGGCATCCCTCAAGGAACAGGCCTACCATGAGCTGCTCTTTCAGAGGCCCAGGGACAGGGAGGGGCACAGCTGTCATCCTCCTTCCTGGGGCCCCTGAGAACAGCAGAAAAGGGATTCTGAGGGAGCCCAGCTATTGC